TGCGCAGAAGTAGCATTACGTTCTTCGATGACAAAGTTGGTCGCATCTTGATGTGCGCTGGCCATTGCTGTTGCACCGCACAGGAATATCTGCACGTAGAAAAGAAGCGGCTTGAACATGGTGCTACAAGATGACCAGCCAACGTGCCCACTCATTTATTTATTTTTTTTATTTTCCAAATACTGTTAGCCTTTCGGCTGTTACAGGGGTGGGACATACTAAGAATGACAAACATCAATACATTCAAATCATACAGCAATTTAAACATCAACACTTGAACTTGTAAATGTTACATGACATATGATTGGAAACACTGGCATTGAGGCTGAAGGAAAAACAGTGCAGTCGTAGTAAGCATACAAATGAATTGCAATAAATTAACATAGTAGACCATGCTTACAGAGAAATATTTTTGAGCCCTTCCTCAAACTTTTCCAGGGAATCACAATGAACCAGTGGTAATGGCAAAGCATTCCACTGACGAATTGTTTTGGGAAAAAATGAATTCGCATATACATTGAGACGCTGTTGCGGCACTTCGTATGTGTGATCGTTTACACTTCTTAGGTTTTTTCCGCGGCGTGGCGTTAAGTATTTTGTTGAGTTTATGTTTAATTTATTTTTTGACAATAAAAACAAGAACTTCATCCTTGCCAATTGTTGTCGTTTGGCTAAAGTGGGCAGTTAAAGAGAGCGTAGCATTTCTGTTACTGACTCAGTCGAGGAGTACTTTGAAAGAATAAACCTGGCAGCTCGCCTTTGTACTCTTTCTAGCATATTAATGAGGCCGATTTCCGAGGGATCCCACACAATGCTGGCATATTCCAATGTTGGCCGAATATAAGTGAGATATGCTGCTAGCTTAACGGGAGTCGTAGCAGGTCTTATAATTTTCTTCGCAAGTACCATAGTTTTCTCTCCGCCACCGCACAAATGTTTTCCAAATGGGTCCTCCACTTTAGATTACTGGATATTGTTACACGGTGTGACTTGTAAATAGGATCCCGGCTGCGGCGGCTGCATTTCCGATGGAGGCGGAAATGTCGAGGCCCGTGTGCTCAGATTTGGGTGCACGTTAAAGAACCCCAGGCGGTCAAAATTTCCGGAGCCCTCCACTGCGGCGTCTCTCATAATCATATGGTGGTTTTGGGACGTTAAACCCCACAAATCAATCAATGACTTGTAAATAGGTGTGAAATGACTCATTTGAGTCATTTCACACCTATTTTACAAGCTAATTCATGCTTAAATGCAGTTTCCCCAATCTGTACGAGCCACATGCGAGCTTTACTTTTCAATACTGACAATACTGGGTTATGTCGATTTTAGCCACAATATAGATTTGTGATAGTTAGGGACGTGGGCCATACTGGCAAAAAGTTGCTTGAGTAGGCCTGAACATATTGTCCGTAGCCACAATATAGATTTGTGATAGTTAGGGATTTTAGCCACAATATAGATTTGGGATAGTTAGGGACGTGGGCCATACTGGCAAAAAGTTGCTTGAGTAGGCCTGAACATATTGTCCGTAGAAAAAAAGTGCGTTTTTCTCAATTTCAGTTAATGTGCATCTGGCTCTTCTATAAAAAAAATGAAACCACCATATTACACATTGGGCCATACTCATAAACAAAAATCACAGTGGGAGAGACTGATTGCATTTCATCATACCTGCTTGTGTAACGTCTTTCTCCTGTGTCATCTCTCTCTGTGTAGCATCTAGTGTGCTTGTCATAATGAGAGAAAGCATTTGATTGAAGCATGCGAGCAATCCCTGTAACTTCACTAGTTCTTGAGGGATGCGAGAAATTTTTAGCAGCAATCAGTTTGTGGGGCAATGAAACTCCGGTACTGAGCTTGATTACTTAGAATGGGGGTTCAAGACTCTTCTCTGGTCTTTCGTTCTCTACTTTCCTGGAAGCTTTGCTCATCTGCTTGGTCAAGCTCTTACCAAGTAAAGGCTAGCTTAATTTTGCACTACTACTGAAACTCTCTACTCAAATCCAGACACCGAGCCTGGCCACAGTGGTGTCATGTTGACGTGGGGCAATACCACGTCAACAGCACGGTATACAGCACGGTAACGTGGCAAAGGTGTTGCCATGCTGCGTTGCAGGCATGGAGTCAGAATAGTGCAAAACGCTCTACTATATAGTGCAAAACGCTCTACTATATAGTGCAAAACGCTCTACTATCGCTTGTGTAGCACTTGATTGCTTCACTACTTATGGACTGTAAGGTGTGGGTCCGTGTAACTTCTGATGAGGCTTTTGGTGATATGAGCTCTACATTGCAGCCATAATCTAAGCTAGCATACACTTATGTGGTGTACAACTGTCATTAAAAAAAATAGTCCAAGGGTGTAGTAGTCAGGATTCATAGACTGCATCACAGTAGGCTGCCTATAGTTCCTAAAAACTCACAGAATTCTTCTTATAGCAAAGAATTGCACCACCTCCTACTGGGTGCTTGCAGTTGCAGTGATGACAAAACAGACTTGTATATCGTAAATAAAGAAGCTATGAATTTTATTTTAGCAAAGAATGACAGCCTGATAGACCTTGCATCAAAAAGGCATACACTCTTATAGTGGTCACAGCATTATTCTTATAACAAAGAATCAGGCTGGCTGTCTGTGAGGTGTGTTAGAAAAGTATTCGACCTTTGGTGGAAGAAAAAAAAAAAAGAGAAACCGGCATAATTGGAGCATTTGAAAATGAATCCCCCTCAAAGTAGTCTTCTTGGGACTTTACACACTTCTCCCGGCGGTTCTGTTGTTGGAAGCACTCTAAGAAGGCCTCTTTCGGAATGGAGTTTAGCTCAGCTGTCGTTGCAGCCATAATGTCCTCCCTTGTGTGAAATCGCTCTCCTTTCAATGTCCTCTTGAGTTAGGGAAACAGCCAGAAGTCTCAGGGGGCCATATCGGGAGACTAAGTAGCCTGTTGAACTACAGGAGTTGCACTTTTTGCCAAAAAAACTCTGAACTAAGTGTGAGAAATGTGCAGGAGCATTTTCGTGATAAATCCGCCAGTTTCTTGTTGATTACAACTCGGGTCTGTTGCATCGCACAGCATCACGTAGGCGACGGAGGACATCCCTGTAGTACTCTTTGGTGATTGTTTGACCCTGTGGCACGTACTCGTGGTGTACCACATCGCGGGAGTGAAGAAAGCACTCAGCATTACTTTGACGTTGCTGAGCACTTGGGGGGCCATCTTTGGTCTTTGTGACGTGGAATGCTTCCACTCTGACGACTGGTATTTGGTTTCTGGGTCATACCCATACACCCAAAATGCGTCACCAGTGATAATGGTGTTCATGAAGTTAAGGTTACTGCTTGTGAAATCCAACATGTCCTGTGAGATTTAAGACGAAGTTGCTTTTGCTCCACCGTGAGCAGTTTCGGCACTAATTTTGCCGCAACTTTCTTCATGGCCAAATCTTTGGTCATAATGGAATGTGCAAAGAAAGTGCTGATGCCTACCTCTTCCGCAGTTTCCCTGTATAATCACACGGTGGTCCTGCATAACCACAGCATTCACTTCGGCAATGACCTGGGCATTTCGGCATGTTGATGGCCGACCAGAGTGTTGCTCGCTCTCCACCGATCTGCGGCCGTCCTTAAACCCGTAGTACACTCCTTAATCTTTGCGTGGCTCATAGTGTCATCATCGAAAGCAGTCTTGATCTTTCCAATGGTTTCCACTTGGCTGTCCCCCCGTTTCTGGCAAAGAGATACTTTTCTAACAGACCTCGTATATAAGCTAACGGTGTGCAGAAATATTTGCAGTTTTTCTTTCACTGTTGTAGTCTTTCATTTATTTTTCTGTTGCAATTTCTTTCATGCTGGTGTAGACAAGAAAAATTTAAGAAGCGCGACCTTTTTTCTTTAAAGCCACAACGCTTGCTTTTTTGTTCTTGCACTGATGGCTATTGGAACAGCTTTTTAATATCATTGGCCGCGGCTATTTTTTTTCATTCAAGTTCACATTAAAGAACCAAGAAATTCAGCTTCTAAAGCAAAACGTTGTCACATGTTCACTTCCATTTTAGTGACAGTATTTCACTTTCTCAACACTGGAACTTGGCTGATAAGCATGCAAATTTAAAGGGATGGTGCCACCATATTTGTGGCTTGCACTTTCTTTGTGGCAAGCGTTTATCATAGCTCTAGGAAGCCTTAATAGATGTACCAATATCAATGTATTCTCGCTAAATAAATTTTCGCCTTTTTTATGTGGACAATTTTCGGTTTCAGTTTTTGGGCTCCAAGCCGAATCGGGCTGTGTCTAGCAGTGTAGGTGGCTTGGTCACTTGACGTGCTGATTAGCGTCTGCTCTCGCACACACGTGCCACACATGTGTTGGCAAAACAAACGTGCATCAGCCGCGATGCTTTGCTGGTACATAAGTGGCGGTGGTGTCTGGAGGTCACTCATCTCACAAGATTGGCGAGTGCACAAGGGGGGGGGGGTTAAGGGGGTGGCACTCTCAGTCACCTACGAGGGGGAAGGGTGCAAACACTTCACATAATACGGAGGAGGTGCGCTGCGATGAACCTGCACATGCCTATGCTCACTAATGACTTGGTATGATATAACTACAATTTTCATTGCCCTTCCTACAGAGCTACGGCAGTTCTGGACACGCTTGTGATGGGCTTCGATAGGAAAAATGAATGAGCATGTATGTACACTTTGGAGGTGAATTAAAATATATTGTAAACATTTGCAGGTCTGACCATTTGTGTGAAGTGTCGTAGCAAACAGAGGAAACACACAAGGGGCTTGTTTTAGTCTCCAAATTTGATGGAACCCCTTTAAGTAACCCAAATGTGTGGCTTGTCTCTCTATTTTATTTTCCCCCATTCCTCGGAGCAGCCTAAATGTAGCTTATGGGTTACTTATCCATGAGTTAGGAACTGTTTTTATAATTTTAATGAGTGTACAACACCGTGGTTTTCTTTTTGTGTACTAATGTATTGTTTTTACTTTATTGCAGCAGTCTTTCAAAGGAATTCCTGAGCTTTGCCTGCATGTACCAAGACCCTTATGGCTTATACCAGCCTCCAGAATGGTGCGATGATGTGGGCGGCACCTGCGAGCCTTCGTACAATATAGCTCCCACAAGCTATTGGTATGCAAACTCTTGCATTCACTTTGGCGAAAGTACAATTCTTGGTCATGACAGCCAGTGCAAACAAGACAAGAAAGCGCCTGTGACGTGTACTTTGTCTCTTGTTTTGTTTGCAATGGCCATCATGAGTATGTTCCAAATGGCCCAACTTGCTACGTTAATATAGTTCATGCAAAAGTTATAGAGAAAAACACTTCCAGCATACAGAGACATGGGGATTCTCCTCTAGCTATGCAGCAAATGCTCATGTGCCTGAAGCTTTCACTATACTGTGGCCCCAGTATTGAAAGCAGACTTAAAAGGCCCCTAAACCACCTCTGATATTTTTTCAAGTGAAAAAACGCATTGTGTGCAAAATGACGTGACAATCAACGATGCCCCACTTGGCAGTGCTTCGAACCCTGGGTGGGCCACTAATTCCAAGGAACGATCCCTTCTTTCTGGCCACGATGTGACCTTATGAACCTCAATCTCTGACGCGTAGCTCAAATCATGCTGTGATTGCAAGGACCTACTGTTCTGCTTAGTCTGCAAGCCCATGCTCCTTGTTGTTCATCATGCTGTGGTGGCTCCTCATCTTGCTGAGAGGTGCCTGGCACGGCATCACCATATGGATCCATCATGCTGGTGATCCTTTGAAGGGGTGTGCACATGAGCATGGGCCGGCACGGCAACAGCGGTTAGCCAACAAGCACAAAGTTGATGGAGTCTCGGCCATCGGAAGTAGACGGTCTTTTCAACAGTGCGTCAGCGAAGACGTATGTCATGCGAGATTGGGAGGGGCACACGGTGAGGAGGGCAAAACGGCTTTGAGAGAAGAAGGCAGCAGAGGATAGCAAAGTAAAGAGCAATCTCCATGTATCGACCATAAAACACATCTAACTCGACTACTAAGGCATCGTTCTAAAGAGTTCTCACGGCTACGCGTTCATTGCAGACTTGTGCACAACTTCCCTACCACAACTACATTTAGACCACTGGATGGTTTAGGTGCTCATTTGTTTATTTTGCTGGGTTGCACTCACAAACAGCTTTTATGCCACAGTTGCAACAGTGGGCTGCCTTTTGTTTGTTCTTTGCAAATATATAGATCTTAATGCTGATATATCACTGGGCAATCATGCAATAATTCTGGCACGTGGCATTTAAATACTCTGACTTGTGTAGCCACTGCAAGTTTAGTTGCTTATGATACGAACACGAGGAGAGTACCATGAAAAAGTGGGGAGTGCAAACAAGATAGCTGTCTCATTTGACAGCATGCTTACTCGGGCTGTCTTGTACATCTTAAATGGGTACCAGCAGGAAATTTTTCATTTATTGCATTTCTCACGTGAAATGATAGGCTTAGCCCTACAATTTTAACGGTAAGTGTGAGTGCACCCTGATAAATTAATTACAGCATGTTTTTAAAAGCTAGTTCTGGTTCCTACAGTACACTGACATCATAACATGGTAGGAGCAGTGCCACCAGGCGGTAGTATGTACACGCACAAGTTCTCGTGGCGTATCTTCGTCTGCGTGTCGCTTCTTTTCAGTGAAACAGGCGAGTGCCAGGAGGTGCACGTACGTGCAATGAAGCACGGCGGCAGGTTTAGGAGGCGCTACTTTCATCAGAAGTGCGTTCACAGGCATTGGTAGAGCGCAGCTGACGGCCTTAGGTAAGCAGGTATTAGGCGTTTTGGTTCGTTATGCAGTGTGCTATTGTTGTAAGTTAAACTGGCTAAATAATATGCAATGGAGGAGTTTATTGAGTTGCCAGTCTCTACTCGAGGACTTCACGCGGTGGTCTAGTGGTTACGGTGCTCAAATGCTAACTCGCAGGTCGTGGGATCGAATCTCGGCTGCGGCGTCAGCATTTTCGGCGGATGTGAAAATGCTCAAGGCCTGTGCACTTAAGTTAGTTTAGGTGCACGCTAAGGCACCCCAGGTGGTAGAAATTTTCAAAGCCCCTCACTACAGCGTCTCTCATAATCTTATCTTGGTTTTGGAACACTAAAGTCTTACTAGTATCTCTGCACGAGATACACACTAGTTGCGGCGGAAGTGTAGCTGACAGTGGCCCATGTTTATGTAAATCTTTGTGTTCCACATCCGACCCCTATATGAGGTGCTCTTCAGCCTTTTCTTTTTTTGTTGTTATTCTCTAGTTCGGCCTTACCGGCATGTACTTCTTAAAAAAAAAAAAACAGCTCTGGTTTGCCCAAAAGCTATAATGATTGCGAGGCCGCAACTTGAATGTTTCAAAAAGAGGGCTACATTCTCTTAAGATTTATAAACTGCGTGTTGCAATTCTTCAATATTCTGGTCATTCTACTACTAAATAAGTTCAACAAGCGTTTTTGGCAATGCAAAAAAAAAAGTGTATGATGCTTTGGCCAGTTCTGCAAAAACATACTTTATTTTCGACATGCTCACACATCACCACAGTCAGAAAAAGTTCACCTCAGTGCAAAAGAATGCACTACGACAATTTACGGCTGATAATTAAGAGTGAAAGTACCTGCTTAATTTCTCTTTATCTACTAGCTCATTAGCTTAGGCTGCACTTGAGAGAAATGTACAAGCTGGCAAAATGCTCATATTTTCCGCCTGTGTTCAGAGAGAAAAACATTAGACAAAGTGGAAATGCTGGCAGGTTAACCTGGTAAAAGTAACTTATTTTCTACCCTGCATAAGGGTGGGGAAAAAGGGGTTGTACAGAAGACAGAGAGAGAGAGAGATGGATAAAAACGAAGAACACACACACGCAGGACGTTCAGATTAAAGTCGTTCTAAGGGGCCACTTAAGGGGGGACGCGGCCCTTGAAAACCGAAAAATCGCGAAAAAGTCGGTTTTTGAAAAAACACATTTTTGGGTTGTATGTCTCATAAACTACCTATTCTGTAATTATCAGCACCTAATTCAACCGCAAAGTGCAAAAAAAATACTATTTTCGAGGCCGCCGTGGCGTCCAAAACAGGCGCAAATCCCGAAATCAAACCAAACTTCGCGCGCGCGCCATTCCCGGACCATGCGGTCGTCCCGCGCCATCTTGGTGTTGTTTTGACTGTGAATTCTTTCTCTCTCGTTCGCCGCCTTGCAAAATGGCGTCGGCAGCACAGTTGAGACGCTATTGGCGTTTTCCCACGATGCGATGCGGAGCGCTGATTGGCTAGAGCAGCGCATTCATATCTCGCGGGAGAAAGCGTGCCCGCCATTGGCTGCTGTGCAGCAGCGGGGGCGGTCGCTCCTCTCGATGGCGCGTCCAGCGCGCTCGCTTCGTTGTTGCTCTCTGCTCCGTCCGCCTCGACAGACGTCTGCTTACGAGCCGCTCTTCGCCTTGTGCTATCTTTTCGATCATTTTCTCTTGTTTTTTTTTCTTTTTGCACTAGTTCTGTGCCTTTCATCTTTGTTGTTGCGGGCGATGCCGGCAACGAAGCCGAAGTCAGTGCGGAAGTCCGGTGCGCGGAGGCGCGCTATGCGGCTTGTACGATCATCGAAATTCCGCTATTCTGCTGCGGGTGCCGACTGCGTAGACGCTTGCAGCGACGGAACTGTGTTGTCGGCTGTCGCCAGTCGAGAATCCGACACATCGAGTGTGGCTGAAGCCGCAAATGCACCGAGTGTTTCCGAGATCGCCGGGCTCGACACGTGCTCCGAATCGATGCCATCCAGTGTGACACCGAGTGCTTCTGATATCGCCGGACCCAGCATTTCGTCTGAATCGGTGCCGCCATCAAGCGTGAGTGGACCGTCGCTTCATCTGCGGACGCGTTTCCTAACGAAGGAAGAAATCGATGCGAATGCGAAACGTCGTGACGCCGTTCGCGCTGAACTCGAGTCTACGCCGGCGACGCAGAAGAAATTTCAACTGATGCAGCCGGCTCTTGCACCTGCAGTGACAAGTGAGGGCGAACATTTTTCGCTCGTTCAAATGAACATCTTTAACGTCGTGCTCAGCCGCACAGTGTGCAAAGAATGTTTGAAAAGGTGCTATGACTGTCCGAGAGAGCACCAAGCTTGGACTTGCAACAAAACTTGAAGTCGTGTGCGCCTCTTGTGGCACCGTCGATAAATTATGGACATCACCCCGCAAAAAGGACACGCAGGCCTTTGATGTAAATGTCCGCGCCATAATCAGTAAAGTAAAAAGTTGGGCGAGTTGGTGCTGGTTCATGATGATGTTTGTTTCGCGCCCCTTATCATCATGAACGCGCCATAATGGCTATAAAGCAAATAGGCAAGGGGCAAACAGCTCTTAATGACTTTTGGGCTGCCATGAACGTCTCTTACAGAGGTCTTCACCACAAGACGTTTCAAAAGCACTTGAAAGAGACGTTCAGGAAGCCAGAGGCCACCGCTTTGGAGAAGTTTTATGCTGATTCTGCCACAGCAGTGATCAAAACATATAAAGAAATGGACCCCAGCTTCTGCAAGGACATCACCGTAGTGTACGATGGCACATGGCATAAGCGGGGTCACACATCACACATTGGAGTGGGATCGGTAATTGACTTCTTTACAGGTCTCATCTTGGATGCTGTAGTTCTTTCAAACCACTGCCTTGGATGCCAAACAGGGCCCAAACCTGGAGATGCAGCATACGAAAGCTGGCAGAAGCACCACATTTGCCAGAAAAACACAGACGCAAAATCGGGAAGCATGGAAGTGGAGGCAAGCTTGACTCTCTTTGGGCGGTCTGTATCCAAGCATATCCTGCGGTACACCACTCTTGTGTCCGACGGAGACAGCCGTACCTTCGCTGCCCTCACCGAAGAGAATGTGCACGGGCTAGTGCCAATTGTAAAAGACGAATGTCTGAACCATGTTCAGAAAAGGATTGGAAGTGCTCTTCGAAACATTGTGCAGGAATTGTGATAAGCCACTGAGTGGGAAGGGGAAGCTGACTAAAGCCCTCATTGAAAAGCTGACAGGATATTATGGTTGGGCCCTGAGAAACAATTCAACTGACCTAACAGCCATGCAGCGTGCAGTGATGGCAACATATCACCACGTC